CCGTAAGTGTTCTACCATTTTGCATGCTGTAAGCGCCTGTAACCAAAATCTGGCTTACCGGCTGATAAACTTGTATATGTACAGAAGTCTATGGAACTCAAACTGTTTGAAAAGTATGACATTGCAGAAGAAATATATCACACAGATATTTTCACATGACTTTTCTCATAGAGTATATTTTGCCATATATTGGCTGTGTCATGAGTTTCAGCCAAATGAATGTTGTCTGTAAGATTAAGCTAAGCAAAACAATAATTAAAACAATTGGTGGGGGACATACAGCACCTAATGGACACTATTCCAAAATGCTTGTCTGACAATTAATATTGACCAAATACCAGAGGTCAACGTACTGTATTTCTGTCAATTAACAACGACAAGCTACGGTAGTTCACGTCTCGGCATACATGGCACTGTACATCATGTACTCATTATCGATTCATGTCATGTACCGTACATATCTGCTGCCAGTAATTGAAGTTAATAATTCAACAATCATGTCTTCCCCTAACACAATTATCAATTTCCATGTTTTACACATCACTCACAGAGGCTTGCATTCTTCTGAATAGATGTTGATAGGGTTTTAGTGTATGTTGCGGTGTGGGGGAACATAATTGATCAAGTTGGCATGCGTGTACCGGGTAGCCCTCTAGCTGTATATAACAAAATTACTTGGGCTTAATATATCTGCATTGGGAGTGCTGATCATATCTGATTTCCATCTGTTCCGTCTGCGATCTGATATTTTTTCCAATGTCAGTCGGTGTCATTCACACATGTTATACACAGTTCAAGGGATGCATGCAGTTTTCCAGACAGACAGATACTGTACGCATTCACTGAGAGCGACTTGGTTGGGGGTTTGCTGAACAAAACGATGGCAGGTAGCGCTCAGTCGGGCGGCGCCCTGAACATGCTCATCATGTCCCTGCCGTTCTCCTCCCTACGCCACAGGGACCGCAAGGACCGGCCGGACCCCAAGGACTTCACCTTGGAGAACTTGAGCGGGGAGACGGTGGGCCGGGTACCGGGCAAAGTCAACGGCCAGCAGTTTCTCATCAAGAACTGCCAGGTAGGTCATGTACCGGTAGGGCACCGACCCTGAATCACCCAGTCCGAGTGGGAGCAAGACGAGGGCTTCTTTTTTTTGTGTGTGCTATAAGCCTCACTCCACGTACATGTACCAGGAGTGAATGGGTACCTGTGCGGGCAGAGATGATATAATGTTTTCCCCGTTTGTGCCTGACATGGCAGCATTGGGCTAGGATACTCCCCAGGGAGCCAATGGTCTCACAATATCAGAAATGTTCAGATATTGGTCGGGTCAGTGCTAAAAGGTCATCACAGCAAAAATGAAATGTTATTTACTCTTAAGGGCCCTACTCTGAGCATGAAGGAAATGTTGCATCGAAACCGACTACATTCGTTGTCCTTCTGTTTATTAAACTAGTTTTCTGGGGCCAATATGTTTCAATTTCAACAAATTTTCTTGCCCGAGAGTCAGGTTTCAAATACCAGTAGTGTGTTTCAAGAAGGACCACGTAATGCAATTTTTCAGTAAGGACCTATTGGCACTGGTGATACAACAGATGTCAAGCTCAGGTGTTGTGAGTCCAATGTGCAGGGCTTATCCAGTGTGTCTGTTTCAATCACTAGAACTGCCATATCTACGTCTTTGACCACTCGGCCACCATCACCGTGGACAAGTGCCTGGACTGCACGATATTCCTGGGGCCGATCAAAGGAAGGTGAGAACGTTTCTATGTACCTTACCTCTTGGGGCCATATATCAAGCGAGCACAAGCAGAACGCAATGCATCTGTGGTCTGCAAGCGCGATAACGAATTTATCTTCAAGCAAACTTACGCACAGTAAAGATGTTATAAGGGTTTTAGTCTGCAAAATGTGCCACCTTTGAATTTACAATAAATGATGCAGTTGTGCATTTTGCTTTCAGCATAAAATAGCGCATTGCCTGGAGTTACAAAGCGCATGATGAATCATAGATTTGATGTGGACCAAGCAATACGGTTATGCACGTTTGTCATAGTGTTTGTTGTCATGGATCGACCAATCAGAAGTGAGAATTCAAGTTTACCTGGAGATAATTGAGGTTATCTTGTGAGTGGGCCGGGCTCAACCCTGACTCTGCTAAATTGCTGCAAATATCGATGAATGCAGTAAATTTGCGCAAAGTCGAGGTGGATTTTGGACCCACCGGTACATGTACATGTACGTTTTTGAATTTAGAAACATGTCATCTCTCTGGGTACCCTATTCCAGCTCTTGGACTTGACCGTCTCCCCTCTTTCTTGGGTTTGGTCACGCCGCCATTGAACCAAAGTTGCTATCTCCGTGATACCGGCAATGTTTCCCCTCTCTCAATTTTCATTTTCTGAAAACAGCGTCTTTCTGCGCAACTGCACGTCCTGCAAGTGCGTCATCGCCTGCCAGCAGTTCCGATCCCGTGACTGCAAGGCCATCGACGTCTTTCTCCACTGCGGCTCCCAGCCCATCATCGAGGCCTCCACCAAGATGCGGTTCGGCTGCTTCCAGTACCAATACCCGGAGCTGACAGGTAGGGACCCTCGGGTCATTCCATGTCAAATTACCCAAACGGGTTAACCCAAACCCCCCTCTCCTTCAAATTGGTCCAAACTTCAAATTGCTTCTGCATGAAAACAATGATAAATTTCGATTCTTTACACAAAAAACTTTCCAAAGATACTGATATTAACAAATTTGGCTAACAGGTTAGAGAGATTGAAAAATGGCAATCAAGCCAATTTTGGCCAAAAGTGCCCAAAAGTTGTGGTCCGTAACTCAAATCCATTCGTCCGACAGGGCTAAAACTTGAAATTTGAGCCTTTCAAGCCACTATTACCCTACAAACCAAAATTAACCCTCCATTCAGGGCATACCACAGCCCAGCAGTCACGGTCAAAAGAATTACCGGCGCAAAGGGGTTAATACATTATCTCTGGGTTTAAAAGTGAACTTGCTGGCTTATCAGCTACAGAAAATGATTCAGTTGGCGAGAATCGTCAAAGTCTTCACAATTTGTAATGAAACACTTCTAGTCCACGTGCATGTAAAAGTTCAACCACGGCTGTCCTCTTTCCCCCGTTATTGTTTTTCTTCAGATCAGTTTACCAAGAGCGGGCTTAGCCCGTACAGGAACCTGTGGGACAATATTTACGACTTCTCGCCCATGCCAGACGAACAGAATTGGTCACTGCTTCCAGACGTAAGTAACTCCTCTTTCTTGAAATTTCTGCCACAGCCTTGAACTAGAAAGAAAAAGCCAGTCAGCTGACGATGAAATTGTGGACAGGTTGTAAAGCGAGATCAACGATCCTGCGGAAATCAAACGGTGATGCAGATTGGCCAAGCCCAACAAATGTATGGCATAAGGACTGTCTTTTATTATCTATTTATGTAGAAATTTGTCTTCCATAAAAATTGTATCTCTGCTTTCAGGATGCCAAAGTGGAGGACTTTGTGCCTTTGCCAACAACCGAGCAGTTCCAGGACATGAAGATATCGACGGCATCAGACGACAGCGTCGTGCCGCTAACCCTGGGCAAAACGAAACAGAAAGGGTCGGAGGTAAATGCTGATGGTTCTTTGTTTTTCTCCATCTCTTCGAGTGAGATTTAAAGATTCTAAATTTCGTGTTTACCAGTGTCCCTTTAGATGGTAATTTTTCTTAGGTAAAAACTAATAATCTCCTGACGACGGACAAAACGCGCCGTCCGAAATCTCGAGTACCCTCCGGTTCTTTTCGGAACCGCACATGCTCAGAAAAGAGAGTATCCTTGCGTGGTGCTAACCCAAACACGGTGTTACTGATCTTGCCACCTTAACCGTGAAAATCTTCAAAGCTCATCAGGTATTTTTCTTGTTTGATTTTCTTTCTTCCAGTCATCGCTTGTGGTCTTCTTCAAGGATTCCTCCTCTGAGGAGAAGCTGAGACAGTTCCTCAAAGACGTGAGGCAAGAGGTACGTGAAGAAAAGTCGTCGTTTCTGGGACTGGATCGTGTTCGTTTGTCCGCTCCTTGGAACAATCACCGAGGAGTTGTAACTGTTTAACTTTTTTTTTTTTAAAACATAGCTCTCTCGGTCCTTCATTGGCAGCAGGCCTGACTGCCAGCTCTCATTGGGACACCTTTTAAGCCTAAATCAATTATGTAGTGCTGTCAAGGTCGCGTTCCTTTAATTGGAATTCTTAATGTGCCCTTCGCCGACAAAGAAAGTCCATCGATCACACCGCAGTCAAAGCCCAAAGACCAACCTCAGTAGGCTGGTCACAAAGAAGTGACTAGACTAATCCAACTATCGTCGACTCACACGAGTCTGATGGGAGATAATCGAACTGTGGTTAACTATGTCCATTGAACTTGCCCACTGACGTTTATGATCAGATGTGCACGTCTGTCGTCTTTGGTGGCAAAGACTGCGGTGCTGCATGCATGTTTAGGTAGTCTAGCCTTCAAGGCATTGATAAAGTGGTGATGGGTATGAGGAAAATGTGGAGCCAGGAGGCCGTTGTTACTCCCTCTGAAATACTATGGTATGCACATTGGGAACTTGGAGTAGTGGTAGTTAAAGTAACGGCAGAATGGGGTGTATTGTGTATTCCCACTTACATGCGGGAATGTGTGCTGCGGGTCCAGAAGGATAGTGTGAAAACAAACTGGCAACGCTAGCCCCATGTGTTGTGCACGTGTTACTTGTGCAGCAAAACATGGATGCCATTCAACAGGTTCATAGCTGGTGACCACCATGCCATTTGATAAAGTGTTCTCAGTTATTTTGCTTAAAAGTAAGGCTGTGCTTGAAACATGCTCCCAAAGCTATGGCTAGGTCTAAATGTCTGCACATTTCCAATGGAGTGAAGACCTACACGTAGACCTAGCCCTAGAAAACAGATTCTAGGGCTTGCCTGGGCTGTTTTGCAGCACTTGACTTGGGCTCTGGCTCAGGCTTCAACTGTTTTTTAATTCATCACAAAACATCAAGTAAGATGCAAAAGAGCCAAACATTATCGTTCTTCGGTTTAATTTAAACGCTTCAGGCCCACAATCGGGGATTGGTTTCCTACACCAACCCTGAGACGGAGACGAAGTTGAGTTTTGGAAAACGGCCCTGGTTTACAAGCGTACAACTTACAGTCGCTAACCACGGGCTTGCCTGGTAGTGGCTCATCAAGGCGGAAACCATAAGGCCACGAGTTAGTGCGGTGTAAAGTTGATTGAACCCCGTACAATGGCTTACAAATGCTGTGGTATCGCAGAGACCAATGACACCCTCTGTGTCTGGGTGTTTGTTCCAGGGGTCCTGCTGCCTGGCCCGCACCTCCGAGATCGAGATTGACGCCAGCACAGCCGCTAGGATATTTGGGGAGGACGAGAGATTTGCCAAAGCTGCGACAAACGGTGAGCACAAGGATTGCAAAAAATGACCCGATCACGAAGTTTTACTAGGTGCCGTTGTTGAACTAAACTCCGAACAAATGCACATTAGCTGAAAATGACTGGACTAGTTGAGAATCTGTGTTGTAGTCAAGACCACTTAAGGCATTCACAAGACCTCTAGTCTGAATTCAAGCCACAAGCTTTTCAAATGAACTGCAACAAAAGCATTCCTTTGTCATTGTCCACCCTGTTACTTGTGACTGGTCTTGTGAC